GTCAGCCTTTACGGGCACAGAATGGGCTGTGGCTTGTCATCTTCGGTTGTCCGTCTCGTGGCCAGCAAGCTCATTGTCGTCTGTCTCTCTTCCCGTCTGCCTTAAGTTTCCCATCTGAAATAACACAGGGGCCCGCCGGAGGTCGGTATCTTGGGGAACCCGCAGCACCTCTCAATGGCCCTGTGGGTGTTCCGCTATGTTGGCATGAGGAGCTACTTAATAGATGTGAGGACGAACGTCTCGCCTCTCGCCGCTGTCTGTTGGCGAGAAGATGATAAAGACGTCTGTCTCACTCTCGTCATTCCTCAGATACCTGGCAATAAGGTGACTCGAGAGTCCCCGTCTAGAGTAGCAGCGGCCCCTCTGGGTTCTAAGCTGTTGCTCCGGAATCTTCGAGTGCTGAACTTGGGCTGCCAGGGGAAGGGAGGTAAGTGTGAAAGCATCGCTGATCCGCAGGGGCGAGCGCGCTGGCGGTGACATTGGAGGGAACGGATGTTTTGGGTGGGTTTGAACGGAAAAGAGGGGCACACGTCTGCCGAGCTGCTGCCTCGTGTTGATGAGCGCATGCTCCGTCCCTCTTTTGCAGGAGTCGGGGAGATATGCTGCGTGGCGGAGCTGGACAGCCCCCCGCAGCAGAAGCGGACGAGACCAGTGACGGCTGGCGGAATGGAGTGGAACGAGGAGCTCTTTCTGTGAGTGTCCGTCCTCCTTCTGGCCGGCACCACGCAAGCGTCTCGGGGTGCCGTTACCGTGCCGCGGTAACAGATGCGGATGGCGTGGAGGTGGGCTCTGCGCCGAGGGACGGCGGCGTGTGTGCTGCCTGTGTTCCGGGCTACCGATTCTGGCGATCGGCCCCGGCTCACGTATGTATTTCCCGCTTCCCGGGACACTCCGTGTTTTAACCGGACGGGCAGAAGCGCTGATCATGGGTGGCATGCGGGAGCGGCAGGTGCGGAAGGCCTGGATCGTAAATCTCGGCCTTCCTGACAGATCGCCCTCTCGACTTCCCCTGGCAGCGTATGCAGCCCAGTGGCGTGCATGCACCAGAGCTCCCCTCCGCTGTGTAGCTCACCGTCCCTCGTCGCGTCCTCCAAAGCGGCGTGTGCATAGCAGAGCTTTGGAAAAGGTGACGAGGCATGGGAGGTTTGAGGGAGGGAAGATACGGAACGGGCTCGTTTGCTCTGTGGCCGTTTTGCAAAGGTCGCCTAATACCGGCCTGTGTTTTTCTTTCTCTCCCCAACAGGGAATTGGGACCTAGCAGTAAAGAGCTGAAGCTACGGGTGTTGGGCAACGGTGACGGAGGGGCAAGTGAGTATGGGTAGCCATAAGATGGATTGTAAGATGGGGAGACAAAAATGCCCAAGGGGTACCTGCTGCGCTTTGAGCCTGCGGTATTTTCGTGTCGGCACGATGCGTGACAAACTCTGCGAAGGATTTTTCACATCTGATTTTACGTGACGAGCCTCTGACCGCGTGAAGTAACTCTGTAGTCTGTTCTTGGTGAAGCGCTCTTACTCTTGCCGTTTTGGTACCCGGGAGGTTCCCGGGGCCCACCCGTCTCCACTCTGAAGTGGGGGGAGGGACACGAGGGTTTGCCCCTGTGTATTGGAATAACGTCACAGCGGGCTCTTAATTCTGCTCTTCTTTTGTACTCAGCTGGGGATTAACCGCAGCACCTATTTTTCACGGAGGCCGCACAACGGCCGCCTCTTTGAGGGAGTCAATTTCTGGATAGGTAAAGAGGAGTGGAGGAGCGCCGCCCACCACCTCCCTGCCTCGAACCTGGGAGCTACTGGAGTCACGGGGATGCACTTCGATGGCCCGTGGGACCGCTTCCCAAAAGCGGGGGTTGCCCAGGCGACATTTGAGGCGCCGAGGTCATGCAGCGTGTTTTGTTTTCCTGTTCCTTCTCGCAGACGTGCTGCTGGCACACGCCACGCTTTTGCTTGACTCTTTGGGCAAACGGCCGTCTGGGAGACAGGTCTGCTCGCTGGCCCCAGGAGCTGGGCAGTCACTGGCGGCTGAAGCTACCGTTATGTTGGAGGTGAGCTCACGACTCTTGTAAGCTCACTGCAAACGCGCGCTCCGGAAGCATTCGTGACGCGAGCCTCTAAGCCGGAAACGAGCACGATTCGGCCTGGGCTTGTTGAAGGGGACTGGTGGACCCTGAGGCCGAGGAGGGGCATTGCCTGGCCCGTGATGCCCGAGCCTCCCTTGGTTTGACCGACGTTGTAGTGGGGATGGCTCCTCGGTGCCCGGAGTGGTAGCTTTTGTCACCCGCACGCCTGCCTTTTCGTCCAGGAGGAGGAGAGCCTCTCTGAGTTGTGCTTTACTCTTTGTAGCTGCAATTCCAGGAGTCTTCCGCATCTTTGAATGCTCAGCACGCCACATCTCTGCGAACCAGCATCACCCCCACTAAGAAGGTGGAGATGGACCGCACCATCATGCCTGATGGCACCATCGTGACTACTGTCACCACGATTCAGTCCCGGCCCAAGGCGGACTGCAAACTGGGTGAGGCTGCCCTGCAATGAGCGTCTCATACGCGTGGCCGTCACGGGGGTGCAGACTCGGCTGTGATATTCCTGAGGACTCTCACGCGGGCGGTAGTGGAACCGTTCGGCTGTCGTACGTTGCAGTCGTTGTGGGCTCGCGACAATGTCTCGCGGCGCTTTTGGCTTCCTGGTTAGAACGTGAGTGTCATCGCCGTTCCCCTGGCATCTCGTGGCTGGCTGGAGACTCGTGCGTAGCCTCGGGGGAGGGAATTGATGCAGCCCTGCATTTGGGGGGCAACGGGAGGTCCCCACTCTCACACGTGTGCCGTCGTGTAACCTCTGCGTGATGTTGGGGCTGAGCGTGTTGCCGCTCCTCTATTTTCTTTGCGGCTAAAAAACTTAAGCTGTATGTACCGACGCGAAGCCAAAAGCGTGTTGACCTTGCTTGCCAGTGGTTGTCGCTGCTTGCGTTCTGACATCCTGACGAATGCGGTGCTGGATATTCCGTGAAGCGGGGCCGGGAAACGGCACGAGCGGGTCCTGTGATGGGGCTGCTCTGCGCGTCTCTTACCGACAGGCTTCTCGGGGCTTTGTTGCCACCAAGCCTCACGGAGCCAGCCTCCGCAGGCCCTCTGCGTGCACTTGAGGCTTTTTGGGGGTGGGGTGTGCGCAGGGGGCCGCGAGACAGTCGCAAAGTTGCCTGAGTTTTGTCTCCACTTAATGGTGTCTCTGTGTCTCTGTGTCTCTGCCTCTCTTTCGCCATGAAGACTCGCCATCGAGGTCGCCTTCCAAGGTGGAAGTGACTGAAAAGAAGACAACGGTGCTTTTGGAGAGCGGCTGGCCTCGCGGTCCCCTGGCCACGG